TGAAACTACATCCTTTCACCTTGCCCAAAAGTCAACTCTAAATGAATCAAAGACCTCAATGTGAAATTTGAACTCTGAAACTGTTAGAAGGAAATGTTGGCAATAACCTCCAAGATATGGGTGTAGAAAGGGCTTCCTAAATCAGACACCAACTCCTCTAGGATTAAGGTCAACAATCAACAACAAGTGGGACCTCATTAAACTAAAAAGCTTCTGTACAGCAAAAGAATCAATCAAGAAAGTGAAGAGAAAACCCACAGAGTGGGTAAAAATCTTCACCAGTGACACATCTGACAGAGGTTTAACATCCAAAATATATAAAGAACTCAAAAAAAAAAGAAGAAGAATCAAGAAAACCAACAACCCAATTAAAAGATGGATTAAGGATTTGAACAGAGAGTTCTCAAAAGAAGAAATAAAGGTGGTTATAAAACATCTTAAAAAGTGTTAAACATCACTAGTAATTAGTGAAATGCAAATTAAGACCACCTTAAGATTTTATGTTACCCTGGTCTGACTGTTTATGATCAAGAGAACAAATGATACCAAGGTGAGGATGTAGAGAAAGGGGAATGCTCATCCATTGCTGATAGGATTGCAGACTCATTCAACCCCTATGGAAAGCAGTGTGGAGAACTCTTAAAACACTGAAAATGAACCTACCATATTACCCAGTTATACCACTTCTTGGAATATACCCAAAGGTGTCAACCTATTGCATAGATATTTGTATATCCATGTTTGTTCATGCTCTTTTCACAATAGGTAAGAGAGGGAAGCAACCTAAGTGTCCCTCAATGGAGGAGTGGTTAATGAAAATGTGGTACATTTACACAATGGCATTTTACTCATCAGTAAAGAAAGATAAAATAAATTTTCAGGTAAATGGATGGATCTAGAAACTATTACACTAAGTAAAGTAACAGACTCAGAAAACAAAAGATGTGTATTCTCCCTCATTTGTGGATCCCAGCACCAAATCCTTATAAGTGAGCACATATCCTGATATAACAGCAGGAACCAGGAAAATGGAAAGAAACCAGGCAGGTAAAAGGAATGAAGGAACCCGAGAGAGAATAGTAGAAGACAGTTGTTACTAAGGGAAAAATGTGTAAAAGGGGGGTAGTTAAAGGGGAGGAGAGGAGGGCTGTACGAGGAACTATGGGAATAAAGGGGAAGAAGGAGCTCAAGAGAGATGGGACCATAGCATACAGAAATCATCAAGGGAGAAATGGGGGAAATGGGGATACTTTAAATGGTGTGGGGGGGATAACACAGGAAGAAAGAAAGGAGAGATAAATAATGCCTAACTAGTATAAAGAAAAACCCAGAGGGAGCCAGGTGTGGTGGTGCACGCCTTTAATCCCAGCACTTGGGAGGCAGAGGCAGGCAGATCTCTGTGAGTTCAAGGCCAGCTTGGTCTACATAGTGAGTTCCAGGCCAGCTGGGGCTATAGGGAGACCCTGTCTCAAAAAGACCAAAAAGAAAAAGAAAAACCCAGAGGGAATCATATTAGTCCAAAAACCTCCTGAAGAATTACACATAGCAATATCCCTCCATGAGTCTATGAGTATAGCTGAAGACTACAGAACAGGAAACAGTTCCAGATAGGAGAAACAACTTGAGTTCGAGCCCACTCCGTAGGAGGAAACTCATGTGTGGTACTGGAGTTCGAGCCCCCTCAGTGGGAGGAAACTCATGTGTGGTACTGTAAACCTAGCCAAATACACATAGCTAGACAGGTCATAGATCTTAGAGACAATCCCAAGGGTCTCATATCCCTAGACAAATTTAATTTCTTTCTTATGCAAAATATGGATCCTTATATTTATAAACAAGTAGTTGTAGAGTTTTTTAAAGAGTGGGTCCTATCATTTACAAACAGGTATAATTTGAATTTTTTTCTTTCCTATTTGTATCCCTTTCACTTCTTTATCTTGCCTTATTTCTCAGGCTAAGATTTCAAGGGTATAATAAATTAGAGTGGTGAGGGTGGACAGCCTCTCTTGTTTCTGATTTTAGTTGTTTCTCATTCAGTGTAATGTCTTTAGATCACAGTGGTCTCAATAATGAACAGATTTGCATTCTAACCAAACAAGGGTTGGAAAGTTCTCTCTTCTCCCCAGCATTGGGTCATGGCTCAATGATAGGAAGACACCGTGAAAGTTTCCTGTCTGTGTCTGTGACTTTAGGAGTCACAGGTCCTGTACTGTCCCATATGCAGGCACTTACCCACAAGAAGAATCACATGCTGATCCCACTGAGTGTTGAACACTTGTAAAGCTATAAGAGAAAGACTTTGAGGCATAACTGCAGAGAGCCACATGCACTGAAAAAATAGCCAGGTCAAAGAAGGAAGCAGAAATTTCTTCCCATCACAGCCATCAAGTAGGGAGGTTCTCAGAGTAGCAGGAAGGGGAAGAAGTGGGAGCACGTGATTAGAAGCCACAACTAAGGTGTGGAGCCACAGTGCTGGCCACCGCATCCCCATCCAGGACACTGCGTCTTGGTGTTCCCTTTTGTCTTTAACCTGCCATCAGACAGCAGCAATCTTTTTGCCAGTTGTTGATGCATAAGCTTTACTTTACTCTGAACTTTACTCCCTTGGTTTTGTTTCTTGTTTTTAAAGCCCAATATTTAGTTAGTTGAACTTTCTAATGCATATTTTTAAAGAGGCTCCAGTAATAAACAGTGACGACCATAGTTAACCTTTCAGTTAATCCTGCTCAAGTGTTGTTAAGGACAAAATGGAAAACAAGACTGCTTGGACATGAAACAAACATATGCAGAGGGAAGAGAAAAAAACAAAAACTCAAATGCCTACAGATAATAATAGAAGATCCATTTAGAATGTAATGCTTGCCAGCCAGGGGTAGTTTCAGTGTTAGAGTACTTGCCCTGATTTAACCACCAGCACTGAAAGAGAAAAGAAACTTTGAAGAATCTCAATAATTAAAGTATATGGGATTTCAGTATTCTCTTACACTTTTGTAGGTTTGAAGTTTTTTTAATTGAAAAAAAACAAACCCTTGGCTGCTCAATAATCTTTTTTTCTAGATTAAAGGTGAGGAATGCCCATGCTGTTAATGCCCCGTGTCTGTTCCTCCTTCACCGATGCCCAGTACTCCCTGTACTTTTAATAACAGCTAAATTTAACAAGGCAGTGACTTGCACCAGCTTGTTCAGTACAGACCTTCCCACAAGTCATCACTTCGTTCGTTTGCAGCTCCCTTGATCAAATCTAAGTTGTCTGCTTCATTTTTTTGAGCTTGAAGGTTCTGTTCCATCAGGTCAGATTTAGGTTAGTTGCCCTGACTACACAATCTTGTGTAGAATCTCTTCCACCTCTCAAAACTGTTGAGTTACAACCCTAATTAACTGTAAAGTTGCACTCTTGTACTGTTTAATGCTCACTTACAGGAAATGCTGTGCAAAAGGGATAATACTAAGGAGTGTCACAGACACTTGCACAGGAATGGCCTGCAGCAAGTACTTTGGCAGATTCTTGAACTGATGGATGATTCAGTGAGTCTCCACCTACCAAGCTGTAGCTTCATATGAGTGTGTGTTCAGTTGTTATCCTCTTTCACAAATGGGGAAACTGAAGCTTCGCTTGTGAGCTGAGCTGAGCCAGGATTGGATTAGGATATTCCTCATTTAATCACTACCCTCTACACCTATCCATTCCTACTGACAGAATTTTTACTTTTACTCTTTTTCTGAGTCCATAAGAAGAGGATGTTTTATGATTTTTTTAAAGTCAGTTTTAAATTACTCTTGGGTGAACAGGGAGATTTCCCCATTTCTTTTTCATCAAACCTGTGTTGTTCAATATGATAGCCATATGTGGCTATAATTTAACTAAATCAACCAAAATTAAATACAATTCACAATTCAGTTCCTCAGCTCTTGGCCCACATGAAGTCTGTCTAATGCAGTGGATGGCAGAGAGAGAAAAAAATTTTGATATCACAGAGTTCTAATGGATGATATTAAAGAGATTTTAGGGATTTGTGTTGCAACTCTTGAAATTAACGTTAAAGTCTGTCAGAGAAAATAGATTCCATCATCACAACTTCAAGCAATACCATTGTATTTTTCTAGATTTTACCACTTAATTTAAAGTTATATTTTTATGGGGCTGAAGAGATGGCTCAGCAGTTAAGAGCGGATACTGCTCTTCCAGAGAACCCAGTTAAGTTCCCAGCACCCACATGGTGGTTCACAACTGCCTATAACTCCAGCTCCTCTGGCTTCTGTGGGTGCAGCCACTCATGTGCACATACCCACACACAGAAACATATGCATACATATATAATTTAAATATTTTTTAAATTATATTTTTATAATGACTTTTTGTTGCTTGAAATAAAGTATTTAGAGTAAATATAAAACATTAGGTAGTATTAAAAGCAAGGAAACAACTATAAGCCATGGTTCTACATAGTTTAAAATTATTTATTTTACTTAATAGTGTCAAAGACACAGAAGAAAAATTAAAATACCCTAATGGTGTAATGTTGTTAGGGAAAGTTTTAAAACATACAGCATGTACATTTTTAACTCATTAAAAAAGAACAAAGATATTTTCCCACTAATCCCATAATTTACAAATGAAAGATTTGCTTACTTGTTTATTATAGAAACCCTTAAATCAAGTTCATTAGTTTACCTGCCCATCTCTCTTAATGCTGACATTTCCTGAGTTAAAAAGTGCTAACACTAGCATGGAAGATGCTTAGTAAACACTATAATTAAAAGGCAAACACTCAGGCAGCTGAGGCAGGAAGATCAGGAACTCCAGGCAAGCCTGGGCTCCTTGTGGAGACCAATCATTATTATTAATAATAATTGTAATGGAGGAAAAGTCCTTTTCAAGACGAGGCTATTGGACCCTAATTTTATTTAGACTCCTGAGCATGCTACCTTAGTTTAAGTAGTCATAATACTTTTCAGTAGTGGAATGCTGTATCATATTTTTGCTTGCTTTTTTTTTTCAGGAAGAATCCCCAGCACAAGATAGAATACAGACATAGTACACTTCCAGGTAAGTAATTTAACCTCAGTTAACTCAAAAGAAACCTTTGATTAGTTCTCTTATTAAACCAATTATTTTAAAAATATTGTTGCTTTTGTGAATTATTGTTGCTGATTTAAATGATTTTCTTAGATTATTTTTTTTAAATTTTATGTGTATGAGTGTATTGCCTGCATGTAAGTGCACCTGTGTCATGCAGTGCCCGCAGAGGTCAGAAGAGGCTGTCAGATCCCCTGGGACTGGAGTTACAGACAGTTGTTAACTGCCATGTGGGTGTTCAGATTAGAACCCGGGTCTTCTGTAAGAACAAACTGTTCTTAACCGCTGAGCCATCTCTCCCACCCCTTAGATTATTTTTAATGAACCCTCAGAAGCTGGGTATAATAGCTTATACCTAGAATCCCAAAACTTGGGAGACTGAGACAGGAGGATTACCTCAAGTCTTTGGCTAGCCTGGGCTACACAGCAAAATCCTGTCCCACATTAAAGGAAGAAATATGAACTTATATATATCAAATATTTTTCCAATCATAGCCCAACAGTATATGCTTCTGTGTTTGTTAGGATTCTTTTAGTTTTTAAGTACCTAAGAACAAAATGTCAAACTGGCATGAACAATAATGAAAGCAAACTGACTTCTATAGCTGAAAAAGCACGATGGCAGGGCTGGTTTGGCAGTACTTCCTGGGAGGCCTCATTATCAGTGTTCCCAAGGACTCTCCCCCAGCATTCTGTCGTAGAGGATTATTCCTTCCCAAGGCATTTTCTGCTAAGTAAAGGAATTTTACACCCTTATTCAGCTGGGACAAGAGCACCTGTGTTGGCCTCTGAACGAAAGAATGAACAACTTTGACTTGTGACACCTAGAAGTAAAGAAATTCCCTCTTTTTTTTTT